AGTTTGGTGGGCGAATTTATGACTAGTAAAGGCAAGGCACCTACCTTGACAGAGGTGAGAAGATGGGCAAGTAGTTTATGGAAAAGAGTCCATGGCCTGAACATTTATGATATGGGGAAGGGTTTTTTTCCTTTTCGAATTTGCATCCAAGGTAACAGCGGAACAAGTAGTCGAAGGGGATTGGGTATGGAGAAACTTGCCAGCGAAAATGCAGTGGTGGAGTCCAACAGTGTGTGCGTCAGCAGGGGGAGATAGAACCAACGCAATTTGGATCAGGGTGGTGGGTTTGCCGTTACACTTCTGGGAGCACCACACCTTCAAAGCTATTGGGGACTTTTATGGGGGTGGATAGAAACAGAAGAAGAAACCCAACTGCGAAATCATCTTATATGGGCGAGAATTAAAATCAAAGGAAACGGGTCTGACGTGCCAAAGGAAGTGACAATAGATGATGGTGCTTTTCTCTACACGATGCAGGTGTGGACGGAAGCACCGGCGAGGGTGACCGTCGATGTTTACTGCTTTCAGGAGACAAAAATCAGCAAGGATGTAGACAGGATTGCCAAACAATTGTGGGCTAGTAGATGGATGAGGTGTGGGTATATCGAAGCCGATGGCAGCAGCGGGGGGGTCCTGATTATGTGGGACTCAAGAATTTGGGTGGGCAGTAGTGTAGAGGAAGGAAAATTCTCAATTACATACAAATTCGAAGCTGTCCAAGACGGGTTCTGCTGGTTTCTCACTGGTGTGTATGCTCCACACACTAGAACTGAAAAATTAAAATTAGAATGCTGGGAAGAAATTGCTGCAGTTAGGGAGCTATGTGGAGGTCCGTGGGTCACTTGTGGGGACTTCAACACTGTTAGAACAATGGCCGAAAGGAGAGGATGCAGGAGAATAACCAATGTAATGACTGATTTCTCGAGGTGGATAGAGGATATGGAGTTACATGACCCTTGTCTAAGGGGTGGGAATTTCACATGGTTCAGAGGGCCTAACCAGCACAGTGCTGCTAGGCTGGATAGGTTTCTCTACTCAACTGAGTGGGATGAACAATTCAGAAACATTAGACAACAAATTATGCCTAGAGTTATATCTGACCACAGCCCCATTATGCTACAATGTGGTGACTGGGAACAAAGGAAGCCTTACTTCAAATTCGAAAACTGGTGGACTAATGTAGAGGGTTTCAAAGATTTAATTCAGGACTGGTGGAATGGTTTTGTTGTGGAAGGATGCCCAGACTTCAAACTTAGCATGAAATTAAAGATGCTAAAGCAGAAACTCAAAGAATGGAGCGGTGTAACATTTGGGGAACTCATCAACAAGAAAAACAGGCTACTAAATGAGCTAGCTGAGATAGATCTGATTCAGAATGACAGAATGCTGACAGAGGATGAGATGATTATTAGAGCAACGATCCTAGTTGAGCTAGAAGAGTTAGCAAAGAATGAAGAGTCCAGGTGGAGACAGAAATCCAGAGTATTATGGCTAAAGCAGGGAGATAATAATACCAAGTTCTTTCAAAGAGTGGCAACAACACATAGGAGATACAACACCATTGATAGACTGGTTATTAGCGGGGAGGAGAGTAAAGACCCGAAAGAAATCAAAGAGCATATAACAAATTTCTATAAGGTGTTATACACTGAATCAGAAAGCTAGAGGCCACCTTTTGCGATGATGAACTGCCCCAGAATAAGTCAAGAGGAGCAAGAGTGGATGCAGAGACCGTTCTCAGAAGAGGAAGTGGTACACATTCTCAAATTGTGTGATGGGGATAAAGCCCCTGGCCCAGATGGTTTCACTATGTGTTTCTTCAAGGAGTGCTGGGAGATCATAAAGGATGATGTGATGCAAACAATTCATAACTTCCATCAGAATGAAGTGTTTGAAAGATCCTTGAATGCCACTTTTGTGGCATTAATCCCTAAGAAGTATGGAGCAGAGGAACTCAAGGATTTTAGGCCAATAAGTCTGATTGGTGGAATGTACAAAATCATCGCTAAGTTGATCACTGAAAGAATGAAAACAGTTATGGGGAGACTGATTAACGAGCATCAAATGGCCTTCTTGAAGGATAGACAGATAACGGATGCTTCTTTATTGGCTAATGAGTTGGTGGATTCCAGGGTGAAGCAAAAGGTGCCAGGTATTCTATGCAAACTGGACATAGAGAAGGCATATGACCATGTGAACTGGAACTACCTATTTAAAGTTCTGAGTGACATGGGGTTTGGGAGGAAATGGGTGAATTGGATTAAGTTTTGTGTGTCAACAGTGAAGTTTTCAATCATTATAAATGGGAGTCCAGAAGGTTTCTTTCAATCACAAAGGGGACTGAGACAAGGAGATCCCATGTCCCCTTTCTTATTCCTTCTAGCAATGGAGGGACTCAACTACATGGTTAGAAAGGCTAATGAATTGGGGTGGATAAGAGGCTTTGGTGCATATACTAACAGAGCTAATAACACGGAGATCACACATCTACTGTATGCAGACGACTCTCTTGTGTTCTGTGGTGCAGAAGTGCACAAATTAGGCATCTGAGGGCAATACTAACCATATTTGAAGCCATTTCAGGTCTACATGTGAACTGGCAGAAGAGTTGCCTGTTCCCTGTTAATCAAGTCAATAATATGCGAGGCCTAGCCGACAACCTGGGCTGCCAAGTGGCCTTGCTTCCCACCAAATACTTGGGGATGCCCTTGGGAGCCAAGAACAAAGAATTGGAAGTATGGAGTGAAGTCTTGGAGAGAAGTGAAAGGAAGCTGACAAGGTGGAAGAGTCAATATTTATCTCTGGGAGGTAGAGTGACTCTCATAAAATCAGTTCTGGATGCCCTCCCAACATATATGCTAAGTCTTTTTCCACTACCAAAAAGTATTGGAAAGAAACTCAACAAGTTGAGAAGGGTGTTCCTTTGGCAAGGGAACAAAGAGAAACAAGGATACAACCTGGTTAAATGGGAAGAGGTGATAATGAGCAAAGCACAAGGAGGTCTGGGCATTAAGAACTTAAGTATTCAGAACACTAGTTTGCTGCAAAAATGGTTGTGGAGATTCTGTTGCGAGGATACAGCATTATGGAGGAGGTTCATAGCTGAGAAATATGGCCTACAGAGTAATTGGATAACTGAAGAGGTGAATGGCACTTTTGGGTGCTCAGTATGGAAAACTATTAGGAGAATGTGGACTGACTTCAATGCGCAGGTGACTTTCAGAGTGGGGAATGGCCTGAAGATCAGTTTCTGGAATGAGATCTGGTTAGGCGATGTGAAAATGAGGATACTCTTTCCTGACTTGTACATTATTAGCCTACAACAGAATGACACTATAGCGCAGATGTGGAGTCCTCAAGGCTGGAACCTTATGTTTAGAAGGGCTCTAAATGATTGGGAGGTTGAAAGAGTAGCAGACTTACTTCAGGCTTTGAACCTGTTCCTTGGCATCAATGCAGAGTCCGACAAACCAGTTTGGAAATTGCATAGTAGGGGAGTTTTTACAGTAAAGTCTTGTTACTGGGAAAGAAACACCAACCACTCTTTGACAACATTTTGGCCCTGGAAATTAATATGGAAGATTAAGATCCCTCTAAAAGTTGCTTGCTTCACTTGGTTGGTAATTAGAAGAGCTTGTCTAACCCACGAAGTGCTACAAAGAAGAGGTATACAGATCTGCTCAAGGTGCTATATGTGTGAACAAGAGGCTGAAGTAAATGGCCATTTATTTTTGCATTGCAGGATGGCTACAGATCTGTGGAACATGTTCATTCGTATACTCAGGGTTAATTGGACAATGCCTAGAACCACTTTTGAGGTACTAACACACTGGCAAGGAATTGGGAAGAGAGGATCAAAGGAAGATTGGTGGAAAAATGTACCTGCTTGCATTTGGTGGACACTATGGAAAGAAAGAAATGGAAGGTGCTTCGAGGGGAGGTCAAGCAGCTCCCAGATGATCAAGATGAAATGCCTTAGTCTTTTGTTTTTTTGGTGTAAGCAAGATTTAGTGGGGGAAGTAGATAGTGTAGTGGAGTTTATAGGCCAATTGTAAATTTTTGAAAATTTGTTTTTGGATTTGAGAATGATGGCACCCCCTGGGGGTTTGTAAATCCCTCCTCATCAATTTCTTGATGAGTTCTTTTGTGTGAATATAAAGTTACCTATTTCAAAAAAAAAAAAAAGTTGTATATATATAAATGTATGTCTGTGTCTGTACATATAAGCGTCTGGGTTTTGTTGACGAAAGAATGTATTCACCTGGCAATAACTGAGTTTATTGTTCACCTCCCTGCCAAACACACAAGAAGTGAAGGATTTTTTTATTTGTTTATCTATATTTTGTCTGGATGTTTAACGTAATCCAAAAGATGAAAGACAGAGATGGTGGGCTTACCTAAAGCGATAATTTAAAATATGACAAACGAAATGGCTACAATATCAGTTGCTATTCTGTTTTATATTATCATCTTTAACCTATTGCAGTTTTCATTTGTGTTATCTCCTCTTCTGGACTCATGGTGCCTTGTTTCATGCTAATAGGCACTATTGGAATCTATGGGTGTCAGTGGATCTACTGGACCAGAAGCTGTTGCTGCTGCTGAAAAGAATGCTGCTATATTGACGGCTAGGGCTGGCGCAAGAGATCCGTCTGCAATTCCATCTATATGCCGTATTTCTGCTGCTCTACAATATCCTGCAGGTGAGAAAAAAAATATTCTTCTTCATTTCAATGACTTATTATTCACTTGAATCAGGTGCTATTGTTAAAATGCAAAAGTGAACTTGTTTAAGAATACGTTTTTTTTTAGCTTAAATGTTACTCCCTCTGTCCGTAATTACTTGTCCACTTTTCCTTTTATAGTTGTCCCTAATTACTTGTCCATTTTGACAAATCAAGAAAGGACAAAATTTTTTTACCTATTATACCCTCAATTAATTACTTTGTTAAAGGTAGAACTTTTTGAAAATCTTGAGTTTTTAATTGATCTACTTCATAATGAATAGAGGTAAAATGGTAAACTCACTATGCTAATAATTGTCTTCTTAATAGGTGTGTCAATTCAAAAGTGGGCAAGTAATTAGGGATAGAGGGAGTATTTATATGGACCTGGAATTTAAATTATTTGCCAGGACACCTTAGCCACCATAGCTCTTTTAGTTTGACCAGAATATGACCCTTGAGCGGTAATAAAAGCCAAGAAGAGATGTTGAGACAAATTTGATCTATAATTCATCTAGATTTGCTGGAAAATTGTTGATTGCGCTCATGTTTGCCTGCTGATAGAGTGCCTACTGAGTTGAAGTGGCACCATGTCATGTTGCTATCTGAATAATGATTAACATTGACATAAGTTTGATGGGTTAGATGGACATGAAGAAACTATTTGTAGAAGAGAGAATAGGGATGTACCAGGGAGAGGAGCATCTGTCTCTTTTGGTTGTCAGGGAATTGAACTCTCTCTCTTTATTTTTTTTTAAGTTAGGCTTAAGAATGAAGATTGACTAGTGCCAGAGTGTGTATAAAAAGAAAATATGTTTCCTTTCTTTACCAAGAAAAAAAAATACGTTTCCTTGTAGGTTATCCAATTTGAGAGGAATTAAAATACCTACTATAAAAATAGTTTCTTTTACCTGTACTGAGTCAAAATCTGGAAGAATAGCTTATTCTTCAGTGATGAGATGCAATGAATATGTACTTATTACGCATAATATTTGGATATCCTTAACTTGAAATGACAAAAATAGTCACTTACGTTTGATGATAGGTTCGAAGTAGTCAGTTAAGTATGCACAAAACAATTTTGGTCCTCTAAGTTCTCCAAAAGTTATCACTTTTAATATCCGTAAAAAAATTAACAAACTTTGTCTGTTAGATTTGACGGGAACTATGAGAAAAGGAAAGCAGTGCGAACTCACATTTAGAGGTACAATTTTGTAGTTTCTACTACCTTGATATATTTCTAGAGTCTGATGCAATATTTTGAGGTGTAATTCTACTATTTTTTAAAAATATTTTTAGCGTCTAGTGCGAATTTTTGTGTTGCATATTTTAAGATTTGATGGAACTTTCTTGTTGTTTATGATTACATATTTTTCCTCACTGTTTTCGTCAAATCTAACAAAACATAAATGGTTAAATATTTGACGAAGACTAAAAGTGTTACTTTTGGACAAACTAAAAGGACCATAATTGTTCAGTGATTCTTAGAGGACTATTTTAAACCTACCACTAAACATACATGTCCATTTTTGTCATTCTCTCCTAAACTCAAATTGTGAATGGATACAAGTTTAGACCTTTGAATTTCCCCACAAATTATGGAAGTATTAGCAGAAATATTTTATTTGATAACTGTGGTGTCCAGGCCAAACTTGTGTGTACCTCGACTAATTACAGGTTCAAGCTACCTCCCACCAACACAACTATCGGGTGATTCTATCCATTAAGACTTAAGATAGGTGGGAAAACATTACCTAGTATTTTTGCCTATGCAGGGAACTTGAAACTTCATGGTTCTCAAACCATTTCATTGACCATTATCAAAAATGGAAAAAACATTAAGATTCCATTTCAACTTGTGATATTGCTCGTCGCCATGAACAAATAAGACTTAAAAAAATGTCTAAACCAAAACCCACCAAACAAAAAGAAAGAAAAAGTTTCAGAAAGTCAATTATATTCTTTCCTTTCTCGATTGCCAAATAGTACATATGAAGCCATTCATGTCCTTTTAAAACCCTTTTCAAAACATGCATTTAAAAAGTACACTCATGGGCTTACCTTTCAAATCTGAACTCAATGTAATAGGAAAAACTCATGTAAAACCTTTATAAACCCGACTTTTATAAAAAAATAGGGCTCATGTGATACAAATCATGAACAAGAGTTTAGAATTCGATATGCGTAATAGTAATCGAAATTTCAATGATAAGGAAATTGGAACTCAAAATACAAAACACAACCGAAGTTAGATTTCAAGAACTGTGGGTAGAACCATAAACATAACCTTTTAATGACTGAATTTAGATGTAGGATTTGAGGATGAACTTAGCCCATCACTATGAGTAGCCTTACATACCTCGAAGAATAAAGTTCTTGCCGAAACTGGAAGAACACTTGAAAACCCTAGCTTTCTCCTCTTGGATTCTTGCTGTAAGACTTGGAAGCGTTAATGAGAGTAATAGGGTTGATTAATATTATTTAGAACCTTATTTAGGTGTAAAAAGTGGGGTTTAGGCTTAGAAGGAGTGGGAAAAGACTGAACTACCCCTCTTAAAAAGTTGTTGAAACCTTCCACGGGGCCATCTACAGTTCGTGGTTTGATCCATGGACCGTAAATCCCATCTGTGGAATTCATATTGAAATTTTAAGGCTTAGAAGTTCATTCTACGGGCCCAAACTATGACCCATAGATGGGTCTGTAAGAATTATACCCAAAATTGACTCCCAGTACTTTTTCCACGAGTGAACAGTATGGATCGTAGAAACTTCTACGGCCCATAGAAGTGATTCGTAGGTCACTTACTCAGAAAACTCTATTGTGGTAGTCTTTGGTAAAACGATCATAATTTTTTACTCCAAACACGAAATGAGGCAAACTTGGTGGCGTTGAAAGACGACTCATAGACCTTTCATTTGATATCATGGGCCACCTAATTCATTATGTGCTGAGAGATATGATCATTACTTTCTACTCAACTTTGTATTAGGGGATTCTAGTGACCTTAATTCATATCCAGATCCATTCCACACTAAAGAATTGACCTTAACACCTAAGAACAATTTAAGAATCACTCGATACGACCTTCTATGCAAATGAAGAATGGTTAGGGCCTTAGCTTAGAAAGTGGGGGTGTCGCAAAAAATTATGTAAACTCAAGAAGAGAAAAAATTGGTGTTTGATAGAGTAAAGAGAGTAAGAAAGTTTGTAGCCAGAAAGAGCGAAGCCATGCGAAGAGAGAGAGAAAAGCGACAATGATTATTTTAAAACGTATTAAATAAGTCTGAGTGTTGTTGAGGCTCTCCTACAGATTTGATTTGTTCATATCTTTTCAAATTCATTAAGAGTTTTATTAACAAAAGAAACATATGGACTTGATGGGTTGAATCTGAATGATTAAGATTCAAACCTAAAAACCAAACACACTTAATGGGCTGAAGAATGATTAAGATTCAGAGTTTCAGACCTCCATTAAGTGCAAAAAATGAGGCATTAATGTTTTCCTTTTCACTCACCTTAGATTTTAGAAGCTAACTGTGCCCCCCTTCTCCCAAGTCCACCTGACCAAAAGGCCCCAACCGAGTTATTCCCCAGCAGTTCTCATTTCCTTCTTTTCCCTAATGTTTGTCTTCCTCACTTCTTGTATCTGAAGTTCTGAACTGACTTCCCCCATTTTCTCTTTCTGGTGCGTGCACTTGACACTAATGACTTGTAGAGTATAGAGGGGCTACAGAGAGGCGCTACTTTGCTTCCTTGCTTTTTATAAGTATATAATAGATCATAATGTACATATCTTGCTTTTATGAGTCAGAGAGTGGAAAAAGGAGGGCTACGGAGAGGCACTACTTTGCTTCCTTGCTTTATTAGTATATGATAGATCATAATGTACATGTCTTGCTTTTCTGAGTCGGTGAGTGGAAAAAGGAGAAGAGCGGCTGGAAGCACAGACAATCATTTTCTATTGATCTCTCGGGAAATAGTGGAGAACAAATCGCCTTATGAATTCTAATTGTTGAAGGTCGAATATATAGGGGATCAATCAAGAAGCTTATTGATTTTGTTGAAGGAAACTAACACGATTAGCTTAGGAAGTAAAGAATTCAATCATTTTTTCTGTCGTAACTCTCTGTAAAGCAAAATATGCATTCGGGATCTTGTGGAGGCATTAAATCAGTAGCGGATAGCATAGGCATTATTGACTTGTTCAGGTGAATACAACCTCTTTTCTTGTTTCCAGTTCTTGGCATTTTGGTCACAGGTTCAAGCCCCATACATGCAAAGCAAAGCCCAGTATTTAAGTGGAGAAGGGTAGAGGGTGGGTCCATTATCCAACCGTGTTTAGAAGGCTGTGATTGGTCCAAAGGATGGGTCACAGGCAGATTTATCGGTTATAAAAAAAAAAAAGTTAATCTAGTTGATTTGTGTTTAAATCTAAGTGTAGCATAAGGTGGTGTTATGCTGTCTGCTGACTTGTCTGGTTTGGTCAGAAAAGCTATGGGCCAATAGTCTCTGGTGCAGCTAGCAGGCTTGGGACTTTAAGATGGATATAGTTTCAATTATAGTTGCCTAATTGGACCAAGGGCCATCTGAGTGTTAGAAACAGTGAGGCAAAATTTGACTTGATCGGATTTCCAGACATCTGAGCTTCTATCAATACCCTTAAAAACCATTTGAGACAATACGGCAGTATAATCAGCAAGTAGAACATGAGAGACCAAGAAGGATGATAATGTGCAAAGCTTAAACAATTAAGGCGATAGGAATCACCTTAAGCTCATTTAGGTTATGGTGTGTTTGTGATTATTATGTCCCATAAAAGAATCACAAGAGAATGACCTAAATCACGATTTATCAATCTAACTAAGCCCTATATGAATGAGTCTTTAGATGGATCTAAGTTTGGCATTTCAGTATGCCTTTTTTTTTAACCCATTTACTGGATTGAACTCCTTGCCCTCAAGTTATGAAATAAGTTGCATAAATACTTGAGCTCATTATTAGTTCGTTATGTTGTTTTTGTAATATGTATGAGCTCTGTTAGACACAATGGCTTTTATTGAAATTTAAATATTCATACCATGACTTTCTTGGATTTTATTGGCTCAAATATTCACTATTTTTAAGCTTGGGTTTGCATTCCTCACTATCACACCTTTTACCTGTACTGATGATTGTACATCTTGCTTTTGTCCTTTTAACTTGTGTATTTAGGTTTGGATGTCTCTGATGCTGGCTTAGCAGCAGTTTTAGAATCTTTGGGATTTTGTATGAAATTTCGTGGTTCTGAAGCTTCCATATTGGAAGACTTGGAAAAGGCAATCAACTTGGTTCACACACGGCGAGATCTTGTTGAAAGTGGTCGTGCATTATTAGATCATGCTAACAAGGCACAAAATGAGTATGAAAGGTGCGACAAATGTCACTTACCAATTTTTCTTTTTTTTCCCCGGGTCAGATCCTTGCTTATTTGCAATGCACAAGTCTTTCTATTTCTTATTCAAACCAAAAACTGGGGTGCCTTAACAAAATTAGATTGGAGTCTAGTGCCTTTGTTGGACATTAGACTGAACCAATATAGAATGGTTGGTTTTATTGTTTGTGCTTTGTAGGACGACAAACTACTGCTTAGATCTGGCAGCTGAGCAAGAGAAGACAGCTACAGAGAATTGGCTACAGGAACTGGATGTAGCTATTGGTAATGCTAAACACTGCCTTGACGAGGAATGCAAGTATGCTCGGGGACTGGTGAGTAATTTTTGTCGCTGATTATTTTGTTCACCAGTTTGTTCAAGATAATATCTTACTTAGAAATGGATAAAATAATGGAATTACACATTTCTTTATATGCTGTCAATCATCCATCTGGACACAGATGTGGGAGTGTCCAAAACGAAGGTAGAACACGCCACAAAAGAATATTTTTTACTTGATATAAGTTTATTTTGTAAATTGTTTTCTTTGATATTTATCATTTCATGTCTTCCAAATGACATCTTTCATATCTTCTGATTAACCTCCTTGGGTGATGTTAAGTCGTTGGTTATGGGGGGAATGGGTATGCTTATCTGGTCTTGAGCAGTCCTTGCCTCATGAGCTAGCTTTTGGAATTAGGCCCAAGGATCATGTGAATTTTAACATCTTTCTGCACAACTGCATGAACAGAAAGTACTTTATGTGAGTTGCCAAGAACCCATTTCTGGGAAAACATTAGAGTTATCCTAATTGATCCAAAGATTTTGTTTCTGAATTTATTTGGTGTTAGAAGGATATTTCAGTTCTGTTATGCCCAAAAAGGGGAAAGCAAAAAAATGGGTCTTTATAAAAAGAGAAACAAACATTCAAGCTCTGTAACTAGGATATCTTGGTGATGCTATTATGTTCGTTTTCTTTTTTTACTTTCTCACATACTCTTCTTTGCTCTGTTCTGAAAAGTTCCTGCTTATGCAAATGTGATATTGTGGCATCTTTACAGGTAGATGAATGGTGGGAACAACCAGCATCAACTGTAGTTGACTGGGTTACTGTTGATGGACAAAATGTTGCTGCATGGTGGAATGATGTAAAACAGCTTATGGCATTTCATGATCAACAACTTCACTGAATCATCTCTTTGGCCGCTGTTACATAATGTCTGTAAATTTTCCTTTTTCCGCTTGCTAGTTCCTTGCAACTTCATGTGGCTTTTGGTTTTCTCGAGGCTGGTATCATCTAGAAACAGCAGTAGCAAAGCAGGTCACTGCAAATCTAGGCAGCATCTGTTGCAATTTGATCTTCACCCTAGACCTAGGACTGTAAGAAAAATTCAGTTAATATGGGGAGACTGTCTTCCTCTTACATAGTTTCAAGGCTGAAAATGTAGGTCGAGTACAATATGTTGTTGCAGATGTTCTTTCCGTCATTTTTTGTTGAAAGAGAAAGGAGAGAATAGCATTCATATAATATAATCTCAAGAATAGATGTAAAGTGGTCTGCACTTCACACTATTTGAGCCTCTCTATACTGCTTGTGTAACGCCTTTAATGTTATAGATTAGATCTCATATATGAGCTATTACATAGTACAGCGAGTATTTTCACTTTATTTGAAATTTGTGAAGTTGTTAGTTTTGAGGGTAGACGTGCTGCAGAGCTAACCCTTGTTCTCTAGAAGTTCAAAACATTTCAGTACGTCAAAAGATTATGAACCTACTTAATTAGCTATACATTCTGCCTCATAGAATGAAGTTTTATGTTACTTACGAGTTAACACAAATGGGCACAATTTGATGCAATTCATTCTATTTGTTGGAGATGATGTTCAAAGGTCTTAGTGAGGAACTACGAGAGGTTGACTATAATTGGTATTAAAAGAGATACAAAGGTATGTCGAAGAAGAATTGAGAGAGGTGATTAGACAGAACATGTGACACATATACGACATATCAAGGACATGACCCTAGATAGAAAGATAGGAAGGCCGAGGATTAGAGTAGAAAGTTAGTAGATAGTCAAACATTGTCTAGTTTCCTTCACATTATTGTTATTATTACTCTCTTACTATCTTATTTGTCGATTTTTGTATTACTTGTATTTTCTTTGCTTTAGTTATCATATTGTTTGTTATTGCCATTGTATTTACTTTATGCATTTACTTTTTTATATGCTTTACTTGAGGATCTATTGACAATAATCTTTCTATCATTATAAGGTAGAGATAAAATTGTGTACACGTAATCCCCCGAACTCCACTTCTTCTTCTTGTCATTTTTCCTATCACGTTTAATTGGTCACGAGTAGTGATGTGTTTAACAAAAATTACATTTATTTGTTCAACTGACAATAATATTCTACACATTTTTTTTGGAAATTTTCAATATTCAACTTCTGAAAATATTTATATCACGTAGTCCATATATATATATCACGTACTCCAAAATACAATAATTCTAAGATAATTTTGACCTTTTTCCTTAAAATAATGTAATGCTTTTAACACATTTATATGTTCAGGTCAAATAATTACTACAACTAACTAAATATACAAGGGAAAATTGTATATAATAGCAAATTATTAATTCAAATTAAATGTTATAACCACAGTTTGATTTAATTGTAACCCGTAGCAAATTGTTGCCATTCGCCTCTATCCCTAAAATTCTTGCTCGCTAGTCTCTCCCTCGTCTCTCTCACTTTATACAAACACAAATGTATAAATTGAGTTTTTGTTTGTATAAAGTGAGAAAATTGTATATACACATGCAAATACATATATATTCGTCCTATACACTTATAATTATACAATATAAATCAGATTATACAAAATACAATGTATAATTTGTGTTTGTATAAAGCGAGAGAGAGAGATTTGATACACAAACGTTTTATTTTGATTCAATTGTATACACATTCAAATTTTATGCTGATATACAAACACAAAATTGAATTGAGAGGCTGCTAGCGTTTTATCTGTCAAATTAACTATAATTTACATAGTTTTAACTTTTATCACATTACATAATGAATTATACAAAGACAATAGAGGTTAACATTTTAGCTTGTAATATGTTAACTGTCTTAATTTTAGGTTATATCAATCTCACTAATTACGGATAGCCACCTCCTATTATCTATTAAATAATCTGATAATGCAATTTTAATTTTCTTTTTACTATGTTAAAGACAAATTTGAATTAACATAGGTTACGGTACAATAGTGGAACTATTTTACCCTTAATTAGAGGTATGGGGTTCGAGTCCTATGTGATTCAGATTTAGTCGAGGCTCCAAAGGGTGGAAAAAAGAAGACTAATTTGATGAGTTGTACAGAATGTAAAAAACTTAAAGGATTTCACATGAAATCACAATACATAGTTGGTGGAATGTTTCTTTTTTCAGTTAAAAAGTAGTAGGGTTAAAATTTCCTAACTGTAAACTAAAAAAATAAGCAACAATCTCGTGGTCTCACCAGCTTAAAAGTTGGATAACCAAAATCCATACTCAATGCATGCCCATTTTCTAACTAGCTTATTGTGCCAAACCCATCAATTTTAGATAATGGATTTTTTCTTTAAAAAAAAAAAGATGCCACATTTTAGCTATTGCACTAGAAGCTTTTACTATGTTGTTTGAAGGCAAAAAGGTCTGAAATATATTTGAATTTTAACCAAAATTGTTGTAACAATACCGAACTTCGGAAATATTTTTATTTTATTTACACGATATAATTTTTTGACCTAAAATATAATTGATAAAACTCCTTAGAACCCTTTAACTTTGCCCTTGTGTGCAAACAATTTGGACCCCTTGTATCATAATTCGACCGCAAGGACCAAATTGTCTCCTCATCCTTTACTGATTAAGGGTGTGTTTAGTATAAAGTAAAATACTTTTATGAAAAATATAAAAAAAAATTGGATTTTTTATTTTTAAAACAATACATCAAAATAAAAATATTACAATGTCAGATAATCCATTTTGTCAATGTCCTATAGAACGTTATTTGTGGTAACAAATTACTTAATAAAACATTATTGGCATTAATGTTTTATGTTTCATCGCCATTTTTGACCGTTGGATTTCATTAATTAAATAATGTTTTATACATTATTGTGAAATACATTTACTCTAGTTTTGAAAATTTTCAAAAAAAAAAAAACAATTTTGACGAATTGGTTTAAATAATGGCTTACTTCGATCAAAAATTTTATTTTCTTATAAAATAAGTGAATTTCTCACTTATTTTTTAGCGTATTGGTTTACGTAAACGAAAAAACAAGTATCCCAAAATCATCCATACATGAAATAGCTAGTAAAATACTATCCCTTTTAGTTTCTTTGTACCAAACACACCCTAAATAAAAATATAAAAAAATAAAAAAGAGAAGACAACCAAAAAAGAGTTGAAGATAATTCCTTTGTTGTGGTATATTTTTTGTTAGTCACAGGTCTTGCATGAGGAGATACAGATGAGGAATTGGCAACATCCATTATAAATTTATTTATGTTTAAAGAAGTTCATATATTATTATTATTAGTATAAAATCTTACTAGCTAGGAAGCCAAAGAATGACAAATTAATTAGAGTTGAAATCATTTTTTAGATTGTACATACAATCTAAACAAAATGTGTTGGTTTTGGATGATACTTGTCTTCCTTGGTTTGGTATTTTGTAACCTTTCAGCTTCAGAAGGTAGGCATATTTCTAGCCATCATCCAACTGCTCTTGTTGTAGGAAAAGTTTTCTGTGATGTTTGTCACTATTACCAGGATTTGTCAAAGGCCAGTCACTTCATTTCAGGTTCATCACCATCCTGGTTAACTTTTTTAACTTATTGTTGTTTGGAATGATTAAAAAGTTGTTTTTTCTGGAAAATCACTTACTCTGTCCCTTTCAAATTGTTTCTCGTTTTAACTTGACTTGGAGTTCAAGAAAATAAAGAAAACTTCATTCTGAATTTTGTGGTCTTAAACTAAAGATATGTAGAATTTACCATAATGTCCATTAATCTTATGGTCTTAAACATGTCATATGTAAAGTTGAAATTTAAAAGTTGTTGAAAAGGAAAAGAGACATTTTTTTAAAAAAAAGACTAAAAAGTAAGTAAGACGAACAAATTGAAATGGAAGGAGTATTTTCTTAAAAAATGTTAAGGGTTAGAGTCTTATATCAGTTGGGGAATGGGTTGGTGCTGCTTATATTCAACTTGATTAATCCTCCTCTCATGAGCTAGCTTTTGGAGTTGAGTTAGGTTCAAATACTATATCTTTACATGGTATGATAGTCAGGTTCACGCTCCACTTTGGGCCCAGACATGAAGGAGGTGTTAGAGTCCCACATTAGTTGGAAAATGAATTGTTGGCCTATTTATATGAATTTGGACACTCCTCCCCTCAAGTTAACTTTTGAGATTAAGTTAGGCTTGAATGTCATATCTTTATGAAATGAGTTCTTTTTATATTGGAAAAGGGAAAAAAGAGAATTGTGAAGGAAAATGACTTATATTCTGAGAAATATTTCTATCATACCAAACACATTCTATTCTCTCTTCTTTCTTGGGAATCTTTTAAACTTTTGATGCATTTTTCTGCTTATAGGAGCTATTGTTGCAGTGGAATGTGCAAACTCAGGCAAAAACTCAAGATTTTACCAAGAAGTGAAAACAAATATGCATGGAGAATTCAGTGTACACCTTCCTTTCAACGTGGACAAACATGTCAAACATGTTATAGGATGTTCAGCCAGGCTAATCAGCAGCAGTGAGCCACAGTGCGCTGAGGCATCGACAACAACAACCTCTTCTTCTTTCCAACTCAAATCGAAGAAAAAGGGAACACATATTTTCTCTGCTGGATTCTTCACTTTCAAACCTGTAAACCAACCAAAACTTTGCAACCAAAAACCAAGCATTCATAGTACCAACAACAAAGAAGCATATCCTGATCCCATATTAACTCCATCAGTGTCGCGTTTTGTTACTATTAATCAAGGCTATCTTCCACCTCTTCCAGGACTCCCTCCTTTACCACAGCTCCCTCCTTTACCACAACTCCCTCCTCTGCCACCTCTTGTATTGTTTCCACCGTTTTTTCATGGACCTCCGATGTCTCTTTCACCTTCAACATTTCCACCGTTTTTTCATGCACCTCCAATGTCTCCTCCACCTTCAACATTTCCACCGTTTTTTCATGCACCTCCAATTCCTCCACCTTCAACATTTCCACCAAATTTTCATTCACCTATAATGTCTCCTCCTTCAATACCACCTCCAATTACACCACCACCTACATTTGATTTAATTCCATTACCACCACCACCATCGCCACCTTCCCAATTTCTTCTCCCTCCGTTCCCATTCAGTCCTATGCCTGGCTTACCTGGAGTTCCTCCCGCTTCTACTTCATCTTCGAAAAAGAACTCCCCTTAGTCCAAATGCAACTATACAAATACCTAGTAGTTATATGAATAGCTTTACAATAAATTCATTTGCTTGGATTCAAGACATAAGAAGAACAAAAGAGGGAAGATATATTGAAGACTTGGTGATCGAGGCTCACCTACTTATAGTTAATTGTATAATTATTTATAATGTTCCAACACAAGACCATTATATTATAGAACCATTAAGATGTTGGTTTACCAACAAACATTCTGTTATAGATTAAAACTCACTTAGAAACAAGGTGACAAACCAAATGAACGACATATTGCATCTTGCTCAAAAGCAAATATTGGCACCTAGTAGAATAGCCGAGAGTTTAATTTATTAATTCGATTAATGTGTTAAGAAAAGAACCTCAAACATTTGACAACGGATATCCCAAATATAAATGAGAATTAGCAAAACTGCTAAACCAATAACCCATTACCAATGCTTCATCAGTTCATCGCATCAAACTCATCTAACTTCTCATTACGATATCTTTAGGATAAAATTACAATATATACCATGGACTAACATGAGCATATTCATATGCAATCATTGTGAAACTGCCGTATTCATCTGACCAAACGCCGTTATCAGTAAATACTTGCATTATGTTGTTGATTCGACTTAAAGACCAAAATTTTCAGTTTTTCACAATGATACAAGTGCTGACTTTTATTTCTGAAAACACAATTGAAAAGCCAGCATCCTGTTTAAGTGAACTAATCACAAAATACTGAAAAGGAAAAGATTTGGTAATGTACATAAAATTCTTCATGCTGACATTTGAAACAACTTCAAATTTCCCTGTTTAAATATCAACTATGAAACCAGATCCATGGAGGCATCTCAAATCGATAGGCATAACCACATCACACTGACAGAATTTCCAAAGTCGACTATCTAAATACCCTTAAGAATGACAATGCAGCTTCTCATATTTAAATGGAAACCTAACTGGACAACCATAAGCTGTTTGTGCACCACCTCATCCACAGAGACCAACCACTTCAAGTATCTCCCCATCGAAACAATGACAAGATGCAGAAAAATTAGGAGTGGAACCATGCTAGATTGACAATCACATACTACCTTCTGTCCTAAGCCTTTTAGGAGCACCATCATAGTTCTCTTCACTGCTTAATGTTGTAGTTGTGGCTCCACTGCTTGGTTTTTTGCTGATATCAAGCTGTACTCTAACATCGGCCAGTGAAGGATCCACTCCCACAGATGCTAGTGTCTGGTTTATGATATTAAGCAACCTGCTCAATACCAAGACTCAATATGTCACATAAATAGAATCCAAAATCAGTAGTATACTAGCATCATAATATAATTTCAGATCAACTGAAATCAGATCAGAATGTGCCTAAAGGTTCAGAGGACAACTGCTCAAGTCAGAATGATATGTACATGTTTGTTATACATTTCTTCGTTTTAATGGGAAGTCTGGAAAATCCTTAAGTGAGACTCAAACCTCGAAATCCAGAGATCCGCTTGTTATTAACCTTCAACTTAGATTTCCATTTGATGGGTCAGGTAGAAAAGTTGGGGGAAGCCATGCAGGGAAACCTGATTGATATTTGATTGCTCGGGTAAACAATGCCGGGTCATATAAATGACTTCCTTCAAGCCACTGAAATCTTTTTTGAATTGGCAATTTTATTCACAAAAAAATGCAAACCCACAAGTTGCAGCAGGTTTTACAAAAAAAACTATACTGGAAGGGGCTCAGAAAGGCTACAATCTGCATTTCAACCAACCAGCTAATAACCACGAGAAACATTACCTAGTCTGAATCTATTTCATGCACTTGGCAATCACAGGACAATAAGAAATTGGAACACTACAGGTAATTCTTCTAAGACCTTGACTGCCACTAGGCCCACTGGGTCCAAGGTACTTAAAGTGATTCTGTATCACATGCCTATTTCGTAGGTGTAATACAAGTTTGGCATCATTACAGAAATTAGCAAGTCATGGGGGCGTAGAAGAAATAAATTTGAATTTCCACCTTACCAGGACATCAAGTCATAGCTATTGAACTCGTGATAAATCATCTTACCTTTGAGTATACGCATGTGATCTTGCAACTGCTTCACCATCGCATTTCACTTCTTCCTGATCATTTCTGCCATAGCTCAGAACCTCCGACTCAATTGTATCTCGTTTACCTGGCCAACATAATGATTGTGGCTGGGAAGGGTGCTCAGCATCAGGAGATGGTTCAACAGATGCATTTTCAAATAAATTAGGTTGCAGTGGCATGTTAAAGGCAATTGCTTCATCCGCTGCCATATGAGAATCGTGTGTTGCTCTATATAAAGCAGCAGCAGTCAAGTTCGGTTCTACAAAGCTCTGGGCACTCGAAAGCAATGTTGCGTTAATGACAATATCATCCTCATGAGTAGAGCCGTTTCTGATTATTTGAGAATGTTCAACAGAGCCTTCCACGGGCCCAGGAGTGCTTCTCTGTCAATAATAAGAGAAGAGCATTAGTTTTACTTTCAGAAAAACACTACTGCTTCCATCCTAAAGTTGTGCCCAACTCTCCTCCTAAAACAGCCTGAAATCCGGTAACTTTGCTTTGGAGGGAGAAAATTAAAAACAAATGTAAAGCCTTTGTTTGAACCATAGGCGAGGAGTTTCCCCTACAAAAACAGCTAACGTCTGCATTTTTCTGTATTTGGAAAGCATCCAAAATAACTACTGAATTATGACTTTACTGTACAGTAACTGGGGCACACAGGTATAGGGTAACATCAGAGAACATTTTTTTCTTTAATCCAGTACTTTTCAGAGGGTAATATCTGCAGTAAATTAAAGTGCTCAATCCGATTTTATATAGCTCAGTTTACTTCTCTTGGGTCAAACAATGTCTTCTTTCTCATGGTGCACTGACTTCATAATTTTCTAATACTATTTGTTAAAGAATGACAAAAGTCCCACATCGGTGGTTAATGAGATGGGTGGACTCCTTATAAGGCTTGAACAAGCCTCCTCCCTTTGAGCTAGCTTTTAGGGTGTGAGTTAGGCCTAAGACCAACATGGTATCAGAGCAGGGCCCATCTCACCTGATGTTGGGGCCCCCAAAATCAAAATTGCCCACGCACCAGATGCTAAGCACTGGGCGTGAGGTGGGGTGTTAAAGAATGATAAAAGTCCCACATCGGTGGTTAATGAGATGGGTGGACTCCTTATAAGGCTTGGGCAATCCTCCTCCCTTTGAGCTAGCTTTTGGGGTGTGAGTTAGGCCTAAGACCTAATTTAACATGGTATCAGAGCAGGGGCCGTCTCACCCGATGTTGGGGCCCCCAAAAAATCAAAATTGCCCACGCACCAGATGCTAAGCACTGGGCGTGAGGTGGGGTGTTAAAGAATGACAAAAGTCCCACATCGGTGGTTAATGAGATGGGTGGACTCCTTACAAGGCTTGAACAATCCTCCTCCCTTTGAGCTAGCTTTTGGGGTGTGAGTTAGGCCTAAGACCTAATTTAACACTATTATTAAAGAGTAGAAGATTCCTTCAGTAAGCCATCTGGTTATAATGAATCTATTTTAATGCTATAACTAAACTGCCAAACAAGAAGTGAAGGAGGGAATAAAAATCGAAGTATAAAATATCACATAGCTAGAGGACAAGAAGCCAACCATGTGTTGCCAAAGAAGGAAGTTCTTCATTATATCTTCAACATTAGCCATTCCTTAAGAGATGGACTGAAAATACTATTGCCTTTTTTTCCTTAATAGGGAGGTAGAAAAAAAGTTCAACAATAAGGAGTAAACATGAAAGATTATCATCCAAGCAAACAAGTCCAACACCACTTGAAAAAAGAATCCACAGCATACCATCAAACAGATGAGAAGTGCAAATGATGCAAGGAACTACTGTGCTTTTTACTCAACATAGCAGAATAGCAATAAGAGAACTTAAATTAACAACAATATAGCAAGGAATAGGGAGACCATTCTAGAGATAAGTATTGAAAACACCCCTAAACTTGGCATGAATTATTACTTTAATCCTCCAACTATTAACAGCCTTAAAAACACCCCTTTACTTGATTAAGTGAATTTAAAAACACCCTTCTTATGCCACATGGGCATATATGTAGAATTTTCTGTTGACGTTGTGTATACATAAATATTTATTTTTTTTGAAAATGGTAATGGTGTGTACACATAAATATATGTAATAGAAATTTTTTTAAAGAACATTTAAATAATTAAATGTTAAGAATTTAGCAATTTAAGAAGATAAAAGAACTTTTTTTTCTTTTTGAAGATTTATTTTTTCTTATCACCCACCCCATCCTCTACCCAGTACCCCCCCTAGCCTCCCACCTCACTACCCACTCACCCCCAAAAAGAATTCTTTTGAACTTATTTTTTTTTTAGGGGAGAGGAGTGGGATAAGAAAAAAAAAATATTTTATTTTTAAAATAATTTTTTAAGGGGGCGAGTCAAGCTACTCGGTGGTGTTGGATAAAAAGTTTTTTGTAAAAAAACTTTTGAAATTTTTTTTGGGGGGGAGGGGGGTTGGGGTACTGGGTAGGGGATGGGGTGAGAAGAAAAAAAAATCTTTACTAAATTTTAGCATTTAATTATTTGAATGTTTTTTTCTTTTTTTTTACTACATTTATCTATGTGTACGCCACATTAGTAGAAAAATCCACATATACGCATAGGTGGATGACATGTGGCATAAGAGGGGTGTTTTTAAAGTTGTCAATAGTTGGGGTACTAAAATAATAATTCACACCAAGTTTAGGGGTGTTTTTTTTTTTATAACCGAGAAATCCGTATGTGACCCGCCCTTTGACCAATCACAGCCTTCTAAACTCCAAGTTTAGAGGTGTTTTCAATACTTATCTCTTCGTAATACTCCTGTATTCAGATTAATATCACACTTACTATTTTAGAACATTCCAAAATGCTTGACATCATTCTACCAAGGGAAAAGATTTAAAAATCATTTGCAATTTGTTCTATATTTATCCTATGTTCACCTATCAGTCCATAAAAGCCTTCACCATTTTCTTGTCTCAAATATGCCCCTCCAACTAATATTTTCGGCCATGAAAAAATGGGACTTATTTGGTTGATATGGTGGAGCCACATAGGAGTATGTTTGAATCTTATTCAATTATGCAGAAGTATTTTTGACTTTTTCAATTGTTATATGGGCATGCTTCAAATTATTTTACAGAGGGTATATATAAACCAAGTTAATAGTTTAGGGGTGATTTGAATCTTTTATTTGTCTATGTGGCTCCACCGTGGAAAAAGTCAGAGCCAAGCAGGAAAACATTAAAGGTAGGGGGGATAATTACAGTAGAGGCTTTCATGGAAGACAAGTAAACAGATGGCAAATATAAGACAAATTGAATACTTCAAGGTACATTTGAACATTTTCCCCTTTTACAAATAATATGATTTCTACGATTTCCACAATCTTGAAGGCTAGAATTATTTCTTATTCAAATCTTAAACTGACTTTTATCCATCACTTTAATATTTTCTCCTACTACTACTTCAATGTATACAAGTTAAGTTTACATCTTAAACTCTATGCCCATTCTACTATCAATCATGAAGGAATAAAAAGTAGTGTTGTAAAAAGCGAGCACTTTACCCCTTTAAAGCGCCGGAGCAACGCGAAGCGCAAGTAAGTTGCTTTCCAAGTGCAAGGAGAGCCGACACTGAAGAAGTGAGTGCTTCAATTGAACAGGTATGAAGCAATTGCTATGTAATCTTTTAGGGAGCAACTTTTCGAAAGCAAAAGAAAAGGAGGCCTTTTAGACCCAAAAAAAATGAGTTCAGAGTTCAAACTCACCGACGCTGCTGCTTTCACTAGTTTCGCCGTTCTCTGCTTCTTCCTTGGCATCTGGTGTTGTGGCTTCTTTTCTTTCTTCTTTTTCTCTTTCTCGCTACTTCTCACCTTATTTTTTTTTATACTGGTAATTTGTATTCTTCAGCACTAGGGACTATGCTGGCCACCTCCAAAAAGGTACAGTAAAGAGAATAAAGATACTTACCAAGATAATATAAAATCCACTAGTTGGATTTCCTCTTCTATATTTTGTTCTTTACACCAGAAAACCTAGTGAAGTAATAACTTTCCACTTAATCTTCAGTATAGTGCATTCTTTTCCTTCAAAAATCCTTTGGTTCCTCTCCATCCAAAAATGTTCCACTAGATGCAAGCTGGGACCGTCCTCCGCCATCTTTTCTGGCTCTTGCTTCCTCCTCTACTGATCCAACAGCTAAGCAAATCTGTAGTATGTCCAGGCATGATCCAATAGGCTCCAGCAATGGTAGTGATGAAGGCTCATATTTGTATTGTTATTTTACAATGCAGTAAGAAGTGTTTGTAGGTTTCTTTTTCTTTTTTGAGAATGGCAACCTTTTTTTCTATTTATCCACAGGTATACTACATCAAAGTAGCCCCCTTCCAAAAGTATTACAAACTAGACTGACTCCATCTGTGCTTTTTGTCACAAATAGTCTAAAACATCACAAAGTTCTTCTGCCTGTACTAAGACTTTCTGTTTACACCAAAAATAATAAAGAGCTATACAATTCATCTTGAAGTTTTGCAGATTGTTCTTCTTGCCCTCAAAACATCTTTGATTCCTTTCTTTCCACAGTGTCCACCATATATTGGACATATACAAGCTGGGACAATCCTCCATCTCTCCTCCTTAATTGTAGTATTGCCAATATTGATCCAACAATTTAGGAGTTGTGCTATGTTTCTTGGTTTCACCCAAGTGATCTTCCCAAGGCTGCTGAATATTCTCTATAATTGATCTGTCCATTTGCAATGCAAAAAGAGATGGTTGACTGTCTCTGCCTGTTCCTCACACAAATAGCATCTTGAGCATAGTTGGAACTTCCTCTTCTTTATATTTTCTTGTGTCAGCACTGCTTCCTTTGCTAGTAACCATGTGAAACAGTTTACCTTGTATGGGATTTTAGGTCTCCATATCATCTGCCATGGCCAGAGCTCCATCCTATCATTTGAATTTGAGTGATTAAGATCTTTGTAAGCTGACTTGGCACTGAAAACCCCTTGCTGCCAATCTTCCACACAACCTTGTCTTCTTCCCTAGTCAGATTACTAAATTGTGCCATTGTATCATGGAAGGCCACTATGTTCCCCATCTCCCAATCATTTAGATTCTTCCTAAGATGTAAGTTCCACCCCTGTCCCGTCCACATTTCAGCCACAGTTGCATTTTGTTAAAGGCTTAGTGTATATAAGTCCGGGAATAATTGTTTCAGGGTTCTTTGGGCTATCCATCTGTCCTCCCAAAATGATACCTTCATTCCATTACCCACCTGGAATCTGATTCTAGAAAGAAACAGAGGCCAAAGATTTCTTATTGATCTCCAAATACCACATTCATAATTTCATATGGTGTAGTTACCATCTTTGTCATCCACCTATTCTCCATTTCATATTTTGCCCTGATCACCTCTCTACATAGCATATTCTCTCATGACATAAACTTCCAAAGCCATTTTAGCATTAGGCTTTTGTTTTGTTTCTTCACGTTCCTGATCCTAGTCCCCCCTCTTTCTTATTTTTTATGACCTCTTCCCATTTGACTAGATGAAACTTCTTTTTATCTTCATTTTTTTTGAAACTGGTAACTTTAGTCTATATATCCATAGGTATACTACAACAAAAGTGTAGTTCCCCTTCAAAAGTGTTACAACTTACAGAATAAAATAGTCTTAGTCTAAACTGCTGCCTATAAACAATCTAGCACATCAAAGATGTCTTCTGTCCTAGTTAATATATCTTGTTTACACCAAAAATAGAAAAGAGCTAAGCAGTCCATCTTGATCTTCTGTAAGCTATTCTGCCGATTTTCAGAACTCTTGTTGTTTCTCTTTCCAGATTGTCCACCAAATACATGTTGGGACAAGTTTCCATCTCTTCTCCTTGTCAGAAGCATTGCCATCTCTATTCCAGCTGCCTAGGACTCCTTTAATGCTCCCTGGTTTCTCCCATCTTATCCCCTTTAGACAGATGAACATTCTCCATAATTGTTCCGTCCATGTACAATGCAAGAAAAGATGGTCAATTGTCTCAGCATGTTCTTCACATAAAGTATATCTAGAAGCCAATCTCCTTGTCAGAAGCATTGCCATCTCTATTCCAGCTGCCT